CGATGCGTCGGCGTTCCGGGTCTGGGGATCTCGGGCGTTTTTCCGCGACTTGTCTGCGGACAAACTGTCTCCTTGTGTCTTCCTGGGGTTCCCCCCTGACGCGCCTGGGTGGCAGTTCTACCACCCCACCTCTCGCCGTGTTCTGTCCGCCCAGGACGTCATGTTTGACGAGTCGGTCCCTTACTACCGCCTCTTCCCCTACCGCACTCCGTCCCTCCCCCCGCCCCCGCTCTTCCTTGTACCAGGTCCCCCCCAGGTAGACCCCCTCCCCCCTCAGGGTCCTGCCCCTTCAGGTGTGTCCCAGGTAGACGCAGTCGAGCCCGTCGAGGTCACTGGTGACTCTGGTGCTGCTGAGGGTGCTGAGCCTGGGGGTTCTGAGCCTGGGGGTGCTGAGCCTGGGGGTGCTACGCCTGGGGGTGCTTTGCCTGGGGGTGCCGGGCCTAGGGGTGCTGAGCCTGGAGGTGCTCCGCCTGGAGGTTCTCCGGGTGCTTCTTCTCGCAGGGAGCCACTCTCTCCACAGGAGCTGCGCGAGTGGTTTGCCCGGCGCTGGAGCCGTGCTGCTGGTGCTGGAGGTTCTTCGGCTACTGGGGGTGCTGAGCCTAGGGGTGCTGAGCCTGGGGGTGCTGAGCCTGGGGGTGCTACGCCTGGGGGTGCTGGGCCTGGGGGTGCTGGCCCTGGGGGTGCTGAGCCAGGGGGTGCTGAGCCTGGGGGTGCTGAGCCTGGGGGTGCTTTGCCTGGGGGTGCTGGACCTGGGGGTGCTGTGCCTGGAGGTGCTCCGCCTGGAGGTTCTCCGGGTGCTTCGTCTCGCCGGGAGCCACTCTCTCCACAGGAGCTGCGCGAGTGGTTTGCCCGGCGCTGGAGCCGTGCTGCTGGTGCTGGAGGTTCGTCGGCTACTGAGGGTGCTGCTGTCGCGGGTCCCGGAGGTGCTCGTCCTGGGAGTACTGGAGCTGCTGGGCCTGCAGGTTCGACTGGAGCTGGTGCTGCTGCGGGTGTTGGCGCTGAGACTACCACTGGCGGTCCTGCTGGGGGTGCTCCTGGTGCTGCTGGAGGTTCTAGAGCTGCTGGAGGTGCTGCTGGGGGTTCTGGAGCTGTTGCAGGTGCTGCTGCAGGTGCTGGAGCTACTGGAGGTGCTGCTGGAGCGGGTACTCCTGCTGGGGGTCCTGGTGCTGTCCCTGCTGTTTATGGCGTCGCCACGCGGCCTCGACCGTACTTCGTTCCACTCCTGCAGCAGGTTCTTGGTCTTACACCTTCTACTGGTCCTCCTCCTCCTCCCTTAGAGGGTCCACAGCCTGTCCAGTCACAGTCACAGCTACAGCCTGCCTCCCCTTTGCCTGCTCCTTCTCCCTACGCTGGTCCTACTGGAGGTCTTACTGAGCATCGTGAGCCTGCGTATCGTCCTGCGTCGCCTGTTCGTGCTATGCGCGCTAGTGGTCGTGGTTCGCGTCAGCGTCCTCCTCCTGTCCCTGGCACGCACCGGATGTCTCTGCGTCCGTCCACTGCTCCTCTGCGTGCCCCTTTGCCTTCTCCTCCTGCGTCCTCTCTTCCTGCTCTTGCCGACCCGGAGTCGGACTCTCTTCGTGCTGCCAGTCCTACTGTCACGCGTCTCCTTGCTACTGCCGTCACTGACCCTTCTTTCGAGTCTACTGCTGCGTCTACCCTTGTTACTGAGCTCGTCGACTTTGCTGCTCGCTGTCGCCTAGACTACGCTGCGAGTCTTGTCACTGAGTCTGAGTCTGTCTGTCCTTCGTCCGTCGGGGGTGAGTGTGCCCTTGGCACGGACGTCCTTGAGGACAGGCAGGAGGAGTTCCAGTGTCTGGCCGCTGCTTCACCTCATCTCGTGTCCGTACTGCTTACCCCTGAGGGATACCCGGATGCACTTGACATCCCGACTCCGCGCTCTTACGCGGAGGCGATAGAGGGTCCCTACTACTCTCAGTGGTAGGCAGCTATGGATGCAGAGATGGCTTCCCGCAAGCGGCCCCCGAGGGTCGCCTCGACAGGCGACGGGAAAAAGGGGGGGTCGCACGCGGGGCCGGGGCCGGGACGGGCGGCGCACGGGCGGTGTGGGGCCGGGACAGCGGCACACGGGCGGCGACGGGCCGGGGCTGGCGGCGCACGGGCTGCGACGGGCCGGGGCTGCTGCGCGGGGCCGGGCCAGCGGCGCACGGGCGGCGACGGGCCGGGGCAGCGGCGCACGGGCGTCGACGGGCCGGCGCGCGGGTCCGCGTCGCCCGTCGCAGCGCCTCCCGAGGGCGCCGCGCCGAGCGACGAGGCAGAAGCCCGCCGCGCGCCTCGGGGCGCACAGCGGGCAGAGAACCGCCGCGCGCCTCGGGGCGCACGGCGGGCAGAAAACCGCCGCGCGCCTCGGGGCGCACGGCGGGAAGAAAAAACTGCCGCACGCCACGGGGCGTGCGGCACAGAGAGTAGCAGTAGCAGTTGCAGTGGAAGCAACGAGGTGGTGGTAACCCACCCACAGGATCGATCCAAGAGGATCGACCTGCTCTGATAGCATGACAAAATTAGAAGAAAAGAAAGAGGGCTTGACTAGCAAGAATGGGGATACAAATAGCAAACCCTAACAGGGTTGTACTCGCTATAGAGCACCCCACTACAGGCTAGATAAGAACATTCTGACACGACAGCAAGGACACACAACTGACTCGACATTGAGCAGTTGCCCGAGTCGCACTGTATCGAATCGCAACAGCAAAACAGTTTAATTATATCTATTCGTATTCCTTGTACTCTTATATAAAGCCTTGTATTTGCTTGTTTTAATTAACTTACTTTGCCCTCACATACTAGCGCAAGGTGGTTCAAGGACTTTTCATTCAAACGCTTCCGCTATGACAATCCTACTTAGACTTTAACTCCACAAAGATCCTAGGGCATCTCAGCCCAACACCATGTACCGCACCCTTACGTGTACTGTCTGTCAGAATATTATCTTATTGTTCTAGCCTGTAGTGGGGTGCTCTATAGCGAGTACAACCCTTCTAGGGTTTGCTATTTGTATCCTCATTCTTGCTAGTTCAATCCTTTTTCTTTCTTCAAACTTTGACATGCTATCAGAGCAGGTCGATCCCCTTGGATCGATCCTGTGGGTGTGTCCCCACCTTGCTTCCGCTGCTACTTTTTCCTCCCGCCGTGCGCCCCGAGGCGCGCGGCGGTTTTCTGCCCGCCGTGCGCCCCGAGGCGCGCGGCGGTTCATTGCCCGCTGTGCGCCCCGTGGCGCGCGGCGGGCTTCTCCTCTACGTCGCGGCCCCGCCCCGGCCCGTCGCCGCCCGTCCGCCCGCTCGACGCGGCCCCGCTCTAAGTCGCGGCCCCGCCCCGGCCCGTCGCCGCCCGTGCGCCTGCCCGGCTCGGCCCCGCCCTTCGTCGCGGACCCGCCCCGACCCGTCGCCGCCCGTGCGCCTGCCCGGCTCGGCCCCGCCCTACCTGCTCGGCCCCGCCCTTCGTCACGGCCCCGCCCCCTCGAAGCGGCCCCGCCCTACGTCGCGGCCCCGCCCCGACCGTCGCGGCCCCGCCCCTTGTCGCGGCCCCGCCCTACGTCGCGGCCCCGCCCTATGTCGCGGCCCCGCCCCTCGAAGCGGCCCCGCCCTACGTCGCGGCCATGCCCCGCTCGTCGCGGCCCCGCCCCTTGTCGCGGCCCCGCCCTCCAACCAGGCTCGTGGTGGGCCCCTTTCACCACACCGCCTCCCCCCCCCCCCCCCCCCCCCTGCCATTTCCCGTCGCCCGTCGTGGCGACCTGAGGGGGCCGCTTGCGGCCCCCTCAGGTCGCCACGACGGACGACGGGAGGGGCGAGCTGTGGGGTGGCGGGTATGGGGGTGGTCGGTGTGCCTTCCTCCCTTTCTCCTCCTCCTCCTTCGTCTCCCACTGCTGCAGCTGTCGCTGAGGGGGGTGGTTGTGTGGGAGACTGGGTTTAGGGTTTAAGGGGGGTGCGTGGGAGTAGAGCTAGTGGTGTAGCAGTGGGTGTGTATCAGGGGGGTGGGACTTTGTGCGGGAGGATGAGCGGAGGTTGCCAGTTTGTCGTCAGCAGCACCTGTAGTCCGGGGCGCTGTCCCGGTAGCCCAGTCGTAGCCAGCTGTGCCAGCCGCCCGTGGGTCCGTTGCCCGTCCGCCGCTATTTGAGCCGCGGGGCCTGTTACTCCTGTAGTCCGGGCGCTGTCCGGTAGCCGCTGTGCCAGTCTGCCTCCTGTTGCCCGTGTGTCTGCAGCTTCAGCCGTCGCCTCCTGTCTCCTCTCCCCTCACTCTCCCTCCTCCTCATCACTTGCCCGTTGTAACTACCACTAGCTTTGCTTATAATTGTGAACTCTAAACTATTTCTTCTTGACCTTGTGCTCAGAATGCGTGGTGACATTGTGATCCACCCTGAGCTTGTACTGTTTTGCCTGCTCTGCTGATTACACCCCACTTTGGCTATGGGGGTGTGTCAGAATATTATCTTATTGTTCTAGCCTGTAGTGGGGTGCTCTATAGCGAGTACAACCCTTCTAGGGTTTGCTATTTGTATCCTCATTCTTGCTAGTTCAATCCTCTTTCTTTCTTCTAATTTTGACACTGTCATGACGTGTTTACGCTCAAGTGCAGAAGGAGGTGTAGCCCTGGATCTAAGTGTTGATATCTGACTCAACCGGATAAATAAGTGCTGATTTCAGGGCACCTCAGCCCGCTAAGTCCTGAGCCCAGAGCAAGCGACAGCCCTGGTCGCGGGTTTGACTCTGGATGTGAGCTTCTTCATTACCATAACAAAATCCCGCACCACTCATTTGCAAAATAGTTACATGGTACACCAATCTTAGTCACAGCAAGTCAATCTATGACAAGCACATGTACACCATGTGCGAACACGGCATCACCAGTAATCACGTGCATTGCACGCCGCGCAATTCAACACCTACTTAAAAAAACCTCGACATCCCTAGTCGTTGTCGCCATCAATTTTGTTCTCGCTTGTTCCCATCCAGCTTTCATCCAAACACCAACAATTTCACTCCCTCTCACCTACCATAACCCCCCTGATAACCCCCTCCAACATACGACCCAGTCTGATAATCATACGTCGCTTGTCCTGCACTGACCTGCGCTCCCCCCACCCCACCTCCCACTCCCCCACCCCCCTGCCCCTGATCCCCCTGCACCGCATAATACACCGTCGTCCCCGCAGCCCCCACCTCTCCCCCATACATCCCTCTCTGCACCAGCAGCTGCGGCCCAGCCCCTGCATCAGTCAAATACGTCACCGTCCCCCCCAAACCACTCCCCAAGCCTCCCACCCCCCCTGCAGCATACAGCCCTCCCCCTAACCCTGCCCCCGCGCCTGGTGAGGTAAGCGCTGACCCCATGGTTCCCACTCCATATACCACCTCCTGCCCCAGGCTGCCTGGGCCCCCACTAGCTGTCGCATAGATGGCACCTCCCCCAGCCATACCTGCCCCTCCAAGTGAATACGCTGCTTGCCCCTGCCCCTGCACCTGCACCTGCACTTGATCCTGCCTGCCTGCGTATCCGCCCCCTCCCCCACTGTACCTAGGAGGAGGCGGGTCGTATCTGCCGCTTCCTCCTCCCCCCCCCCCACCACCTCCTCCTCCTCCGCCTCCTGCGCCTGCTCGTCCCGGTGATGCTGCTCCGGGCCGAGACCGGCCGTATGAGCGGGGAGATGAAGACACTCCACCACCCCTCGCCCCACCACCACCACCACTGCCTCCTCCCCCACCACTACCACCAAGATACCCCCCACCACCCCCACTGCTGAACCCACCATCGCTGCCGCCGCCGCTGCCCCTCGCACCACCACCCCTCGCGCCGCCCACAGCCCGAGCGGCCGCCGCCGCCCGCAGATTCGCCACAGTGACAGCGTTCGAGCCGGAGGCCGTGACACCACCACCACCGCCACCACCAAAGCCTCCCACAGGGCCGGTAGCAAGGCGCTGCCGCTTCGCCGCCATGGCCTGCTGCACGCGTGTCTCGTGCGCGGCGCGCTTGGCGACCTGCGCCTGCTGCTTGCGGAGCTGGCGGTTCTTCTCGAGCTGCTCGATGCGCTTGGTGAGGTGGTCCGTTGAAAAAAGAGTCTTGAGATTGCAGTCGTCGACGCAGCGGATTAGGGCTCGCACCATGCTGATTTCACGTGATGTCGCCTCGTTCTGAAGGGGGAGAGGGAGGGGTAGGGGGAGGGGGAGCCGGGAGGGGGGAGAGTAAGGAGGGGCGACAGAAGGCAGGGGTGTGACAGGGAGTGAGTGAGTGCTCTGCAGCCTGCTGCTGCTTGCGCAGCTGGCGGTTCTTCTCGAGCTGCTCGATGCGCTTGGTGAGATGGTCCGTGGAGAAGCGCGGCTTGAGACTGCAGTCGTCCACACAGCGGATGAGCGCCCGCACCATGCTAATCTCACGTGAGGTGGCCTCGTTCTGTGTGGGGGGGAGAGGGGTGAGAGAAAGAGGAACGACCAGAGGCAGTGGTGACACAGGGAGTAAAACGCAGCAGATTACCGTCCGCCCGCACCATGCTGATTTCCCGTGAGGTGGCCTCGTTCGGTGGGGGAAAGAGGGAGTGGGGGGGGTGGGGGAGTGGTGGTATGACAAGCATGCGGATTTTACTTGAAAATAAGTAAGACGTTTAAAAAACTTACTTGTTTCACAGGAGTAGTGGTATGACGAGCATGCGAATTTTACGTCTTAGCATGAAACGGCATCGCATCGCAACGCAAACGCCACCGACCTCAGCCTGCACCTGCACCCTGCTGCAGTGACGCGAATCCCACGATGCTACAGCAAGGCGAGCAGACCCACCCTACGCACCTCAGCCTGCAGCGACTTGTCCTTCTTGGTCATTGCAGAGACGGGTGTGCGGATCCCATGGCATGGCAGAGCATGAGAATGCATGGCATCGCACACTAGAACAAGCAGTACATAAACACGCCCACGCCCAACGTGTGATGCGTCGATATTTTAGTCGACTAAAAAATCGACTCATCACACGTCGCACGCTACAACAAGCATTACACATACACGTCCACGCCCAACCCTACGCACCTCGGTTTTGAGACGTCTCAAACCTACATACACACACCCACCCACCCACCCACGCACCTCAGTCTGCAGCGACTTGTCCTTCTTGGTCATGGCGGACACAAGCGTGTGGATCTCATGCCATAGCACAGCATGACACTGCAATGCCATGGCAGGGACAAAAGCAAGCAGCACATACACACGTGACACACCCACCCACCCACCCACGCACCTCAGCCTGCAGCGACTTGTCTTTCTTGGTCATGGCGGAGACGAGCGTGCGGATTTCCCGCAGGTTGCGCTTGAGCAGGTCAACGGGGTCAACAGAGTCAAGCAGGTCAACGCCATGCGCCAGGTAGATGGCGTCCACCTCACGCCCCTCCTTCACCAGCCGCTCAACCACGACTGCAGGGCGGGACGCCACAACAGTAACAGCGCAACAACAACACAACACATAGGGGATTAGTGTGCGAGCCGCCGGCAGCAGATACATCATACAATACATGGGCTGGCTTGCATGTCATGTGGATCTGCATTTGGAAAGCATTGCTGCAATGCATTGACAATGCATTTTTTAGTCGATCATAAAACAATGCATTGACAGTCACAGTGCACTGCAATGCATGATGGAAAAACGCTGTGACCGTCATAGTAAGGAGGCACAAGCAAGCAACGCAACTGGAAAGCGAAAGGGCACGGAAAATACTGCAGGGCGCAAGCTGCTTGCTTATCCCTGACAAACGCGAGAGGACGTGTACAGCACAGCACAGCACAGCACAGCACAGCACAGCACAGCACAGCACAGCACAGCACAGCACAGCACAGCACGGCACGGCACGGCACGGCACGGCACGGCACAGCACAGCCCAGCCCAGCACAGCACAGCCCAGCCCAGCCCAGCCAGCACAGCCCAGCCCAGCACAGCACAGCACAGCACAGCACAGCACAGCACAGCACAGCACAGCACAGCACAGCACAGCACAGCACAGCACAGCACAGCACAGCACAGCACAGCCCAGCACAGCCCAGCACAGCCCAGCACAGCCCAGCACAGCACAGCCCAGCCCAGCCCAGCCCAGCCCAGACCAGCCCAGCCCAGCCCAGCCCAGCCCAGCCCAGCCCAGCCCAGCCCAGCCCAGCCCAGCCCAGCCCAGCCCAGCACAGTGAAGCTGCAAGCCCACGCACATGGCGGCTGCATATGCATGGAGGACACTCAGCGAGTGCGCGCTGTATGCTCGGTATACAAAGCCGCATTGCATCAGACAACTCAACAGCGCAACCCACGTGTCAACTGTACACTACCACCACCCAGCAGCAGCCAGTCCCACCAACCGTCCCGTCCCACTACAACAGCTGTCAGCGCCCTTTCTCCCCACCCCACGCATCCAGCCAGTCGAAACATGTGCTTCTCGGGCCCTTCACGTATGAACCCGGCTCAAAGGCGCCTTCCAGCCAACTGGAGCACGAGCTTCTGGCCCTTTTCAGGGTCACACAACACAAACCAGTCACGATTCAAGCACTTTCACGGCCAAAGGCCACGTTTCGTTTCGTTTCCAGCCCAACGTGCAGCCGAGAACAGCGCAGCTGGGAATCAGACACGGGACTCATGGGGGGGGGGGGGGGGGACCACGGCGTGCTCTGGCCAATGGCACACGCACGTCCCATGATAAATCCCCACCCAACTCCTGAACGACGCACCATAGCCTTGGCCGTTACCACTGTGGCCCACGGCCATAGTTACTCATCAAGGGCCAAACGGCCCCACCCCAGACATAATCCCCACCTGGCTTTTTCTCCATGAGCCCCATGGCCTTCACCATGTCCGCCGTCTGCTTGCGCCGCGTGCATTGAGACAATTCTATGGGGCGCCTCGACGAAAGTATGTCAGGGCATACCCCCCACCCCCATGTGTATTCCCCACCTGGCATCTTGTCCACGATCCCCATGGCCTTCACCATGTCCGCCGTCTGCTTGCGCCGCGCGGACGACGCCACAAACCCTAGCAGCGCGTCTTCGTCCACCTGCCGCGCCACGCCAAAAACCGCCGCCACCTGCAGCACCAGCCACGCGTCCAGCGACGAAGCTTCCTCCGCCTTGCTCAGCGGTCCCCCGCTCCTCACCCACCCGTCCAAAATCCCCCGCGCCTTCTCCTGTATCGAGGGCGCAATAACGGGGACGGAAACCCCCTCCGCCTTGGCCTGCTTGGCCAAAACCTGGCCTAGGGTTTCCACGAGGAGGGAAACGGCGCGCACGTGGCTGGGCTCGACGGGCTCGCGCCGCTTATCCTTGCCGGCCGCCGGCGCTTCGACGGCCTTGGGTTTGTAGGAGTCCAGGCAGGAGAGGACCAGGCGGCAGGGGTCGAGCGCGAGGGGGAGCGCGTGCGGAAGCTCCGTGCGCACGCGGCTAATGTCGCGCCGGTTCTGCATCACGTAGCGCTTCAGCCCCTCCGCGTCCATCCCCGCGCACAGCCCGCGCAGCTCCGCGCTCACGCGCACCGCCGCCTCCCCCGACTCGTCTCCGGATCGCGGGGTCTTGTCGGACTTGGCGTCCTTAGGGGTAGCCGTAGCGCGCTCGGCTGTATTGGCGGCTGTAGCCACTCCGTTACTGGCGGGCTCGCTAGCAGGAGCCTCGGTGCCAGCTTGCTTTCCAGACGACTTGTCTTCACTGGCCGCGCGCGCAGCACGGGCTGAGGCCGAAGCCTTGTCCTTTTCCTTGTCCCCTTCAGATCGAGCCTCTTCCTTAATCTTGCCCGCCTCCTTCTCCTTCTCCTCCTCCTTTTTCTTCTCTTCCGTTAGTTTCTCCTTCTCCTTCTCCCTCTCGTTCTCCTTCTCCTTCTTATCCTTCTCAGCCTTGTCGCTGCTCTCCTTCCTCTCGCTCTCGCGCCTCGCCTTGTCGCTCCCTTCCTTACCCTTCCCGCTCGCCGCCTTGTCCTTCTCACGGCTCTTCTCCTTCTCCTCCATCCATTTCTTCCTCTCCTCCGCAAGAGCAGCGAAAGCTGCATCTCGCTGCTCCTGCACTCGCTGCATCGACGCAGATTCGCGAGACGCGATCGCACTCTCTCGCTTATCGAGTTGCTTTGTAACGGTCCGCGTCTTCTCCTCTAGGGCTCGCTCTCTCTCGCTCACGTCCTGCTCCCGCTTTCGGAGCCTTTCCTCGCTCGCGGCGAAAAACTCGTCCAGCTCTTTCCACTGCGCGATGCAGCTCGCGAGCATCGCCGATTTCGCTTGCAGGTCCGCGAAAGACCGGCGAACGTTTTCGTAACGAATGGCGTACCCTGGAATCTGAGGGTCAGGACCGTCGGTGTCGACATTTACCATCTCTTGATCCGCATCCTCCGCCGTTGTTCCCGGCACACTCGCGTTCTCCGCTCTTCCCGACGATCCGTCCACATCCTCAGGTTCACCATCTAGGTCAAATTCATCGCCCTTATCCACATTGTCCACGTCAGCCTTTCCGTCCACGTCAGCTCCCGGTTGCTCCTCCAAGTCAATTACACCATCCTTGACGTTTTCAGTCACTTTCTCGTCGGCATCAGACGCGCCGTTAGTTGTCATATCGGTTATTGATTCTTACTTTATCCTGAGGATGGAACGGGGGAGAGATCCGCAATATTAAAAGCACAACACAAGGAAAGGAACGGGGGACATACGAAAGAAGGCATTATTGATCGGATCTAAAAAAGGTAAGAGTGGAACTAAATTAAAAAGGCAGAACTGACAAAACAGAATACACGATAGATCTCGTTACGAGGAAGACAACACGGGAGTAAAGAAACATACAGAATTGTTGACGCGTCAGTTCAACGCGGATGATGCGGCTAACTTGAATGAGGCGAACAGGGAGCTTCGAGGTGAAAGCTTGGTTTATGAGAAGTCCGAGAAATAAGATGATGGTGGTGGGGATGGCGCTTTAAGTCGACTGAAAAGGCAGGGTTACGGTACGGTGAAGTCGGGAGGGCAAGGCCAGGGATACAGTAAATGGAGGGAGGGAGGGGAGAGGGGGAAAAGAAAGTCGACACTGCTACAGCTGCAGATCCTTCATTACAAAAGCCTCGCTATCAGATACAGTCACGAGAATACGAGCACTCACAATTAAAAGAGTGTAAACCACGTTACCAGGAGCACTAATACAACTGGGAAATCAATCCGTACTGAACACACAAGGCGCTGTTCGGCAGCCACAGGGGTTCGACGGGAGGGCATGGGACGGAGGAGGACAACGTCGGGCCTCCTGGTTCGACCTTGACGAACCAGGCAAAACACCACGGTCAGTAGATGAAAAAACGAAAAACATGCCGGACGTGGGCGAAAAACGCGACCCGAACCCCAACCTAGACCTGTGACCGCGCCGCATCCTCCTCATGAACCCCTCCCCCCCCCCCTTGGCGGAAACTTTCCGCTCCAGTGTCGAGGGGTGGAAAGTGGATTCAAGTGAGGTGGACAAACCACAGGGAATCAGAATTCATGCACTATAATTTATCACCCAGATGAGTTACTAGCCTATTTCCATGTACTCAACGGAAAATTATCGAAGAATACATGAGATAAAACTCGGGTCAGATTTTCTTGTTTAAGTGTTGAGTTTTAGCTGTTGTAAATTAAACACGAGCAATCATAGTAAACTTGTCAACAGAACCCTTACGGGAACTGTTCACGTCGCGAAGGTTCGCATTTTGCAAGACGTCTGCTTCCGTTGCCCTTACCCTACCACCCTGGACCTCCGCAATTACCGCCGAGTCCTTCCGCTTGCGCAAGGACCTCGAACTTGGCGTCAACTGTGGTTGACCCCAGGTTGACCTGTCACAACTAGGAGCGAGGCTGTCGATTTTCGATGCCTAGACTCATCCCTCGCTGGATCCCTTGGGCTGCCGAACACTGCCCGAGAGTGGCTCGACTAGCTCAACTCTAGCCTCGTTTTGGACAGTCTCTGTCCATTCTTTAGTTTTCTGCTTCTTGTGTCAATTTAGTTCATTAGTGAAACCCGCGCATTCATATCACAGTACACCAAAACGACTTCATTAGTTCCACCCTGATAACCTTTCTCGATCCCATCGCTCACCAGCTCTCATCGCTCGTCCACCGTCGCGCAGTCACCCTTGTCGCAATAGTCTCTGCTGCCCTACTGTATTACTAGCGGGCCGCGATCCCGGGCGATTATAATTATTTCCCGTCGCTGGATCCCTCTCGCCTCTCCATACCTCCCGTCACTCGAGTGTGACCGCTCGACACATCCCTCTCCTCGTCCCATGCTTTCGTCATTCGATTCCTTGCTTCGAATCGTCCCTTCCGTCGCCACCTCCCTTCCGTCGCCACCTCCGTTCCGTTGCCACCTCCTCCTCCCTCGTCGTTCGATCCATCACCGCATTGATTTCTCTCTTCTCCCTCCTCATTTACTTCCCTCCTTCCCCTCACATACCACCCTCGTCCTGTGTCCCCCTCGTCCTCTGCCTCTTCCTCGACCATATCCACGACCAATGCTCGCTGCCCCAGCGCCATCCGCACTCGCCAACTCACGGCGGCGGAAATCCTCTTGAAGGATAGCTCGCTTCACGTCTTCGAGCGAGAGGCGGGGCAAGTCGCGATTCAGGTTGATGATGAGCGAGGACCATGATTCGGGGAGTAGGGCCAGCAAATTGGTCTTCTTTTGGAGCTCACTGTAGTTCAAATCCGCTCCCTCAAGCCGCGTCAACAAGTCGAAGAATTTCTGCACCCCTTCTTCAACCGCTTCATCCTCTTCAATTCGTAACGTCGCCATTTGCCGTTCCAACACCACAGCTACCGCCGCTGTTGCAGGAGCGTGTACACCCTTGAGAGCAGCCCATGCCTTTGGTCCCTTGTCTGGTTCACGCAGGAAAGGCTTGATGTGACGGATTTGGCTACTCCCCAACACTTGCCCAAGTAGGAGATAGCCTTGTGCGCTCTTCCGCACCCACGGGCTCTTCTCCGGGTCGTCCTCGGGACGCTTCTCCGTTCCTTCCATCACCTCCAGCAGTTCATAGTGGTCAAATATGTTCTCCATTTTGAAGGACCACTCAGCAAAGTTGTCACCATTGAACTTGTCAAGGCCAAACACTCTAGGCTCATCCCTAGATGGGCCAACACTTGGTTGCACGGGCGCCGTGGCTGAGTCACAGGGTTGGCCTTGAGCTTGGGCTTCTCCACTGCCACCAGCACCTCTGCCACCCCTTTCCTCAGGTCCAGCCATTGTCGAAACTGCTCCAAGGGGCTCTGATACCACTTGTTATAGTCAGAGTAGGCTCCAATGTGCCTAAAACGAAAGATAGAGTGCATAGTACGGATTTCTGCACAGCGGCTTCAAACGTTCATAACGTTCTGGTCACAGCTTCAAATGACTTGATTCAACTTGGATCTGGAGCGTCTTACTGTCGCCTACACTAAGCAATTTAGATCACGCGATTTGACCAAGTATTGACGACACACCGTTGGTTTGAACGAACGGCACTATGGCAGCCACTATAGTCTTAAAACACAAAATAGGAAGAGTTAGGGAGAGTTACGAGTTGGGAATGACTCCCAGCTCCTACAAACCCCAAGAGCCGAGGTACAGTGATGTCGAACAGTGTCACACTGTCCCCAACCACGAAGGGTCTCGAAACTACCCTTCACTAGGGCCTACACCAAGTGAAATGTTACACTACTCAAAGTAATGTAACTATCTTCAATATCTTGAGGTGTACCCTTTTTCGCGGGCTTCCCGATCACTTGAATGTTGACACCAGGGGCTCGGGTTCTTCATCACAAACTCATCCTTGAGTTCTTGATGGGTCTGCTGCACACACCTGCGACACGCCGAACGTTCGACAAGCGACAAAATAGAAACCGCGCACGACAAAATAGAAACCGCGCGGGACACACAAAATGACCGCGTTACACACGACTAGCGATAATTCGCTATTGACTTGACACACACACTCGACATCATGACCCATCATTCACACACTATTATAAGCATGAAATATATATTTATTTCATGCACTCACTCCATTCCATGCAGACACGCATGCACGCACACGGACAATAAGCCGAGTGCAAACCGTAGGGTTGCACCAACACCTACATCTCCCAATTCACCAAACAACCACGTTTGTCTACCTCTACCTCTAACCCACCTCCCTACATCTCCCAATTCACCAAACAACCACGTTTGTCTACCTCTACCTCTAACCCACCTCCCTCCATCTCCCAATTCACCAAACAACCACGTTTGTCTACCTCTACCTCTAACACACCTCCCTCCATCTCCCAATTCACCAAACAACCAGATTTGTCTACCTCCACCTCTAACCCACCTCCCTACATCTCCCAATTCACCAAACAACCATATTTGTCTACCTCTACCTCTAACCCACCTCCCTACATCTCCCAATTCACCAAACAACCACGTTTGTCTACCTCTACCTCTAACCCACCTCCCTCCATCTCCCAATTCACCAAACAACCACGTTTGTCTACCTCTACCTCTAACCCACCTCCCTCCATCTCCCAATTCACCAAACAACCACGTTTGTCTACCTCTGCCTCTAACCCGAGCCTCTACGTGGGCCTCCTCGTCGCCCTCGCTGCCCCTCCCATGATCGCCTTCCCTGTCGCCCTTTCGCTCACCGTCGCCTTCGCTTCGGCTTCCTGTCCCAATGCCTCACTTGCTCCCACGCCCGCCCTTCTTCCCCCCAATTACCGCCTTCGTCCTTCCCAATCTAGTCTTCCGCTCTACCTATCTCCCTCCTTCCTTCCCTCCCCCATCCCCTCCTTGATCCCTCTCTCCTTCCTTCCCGCACCCTCTCCCCTTCATTTCCTATATACCTTTTTTTTTCATTCCCACTATATCCTTCCCTCCTTCACTTTCTGCCCAAAAACCTTCCTCCATCCCCTAATTTTTCTCCCTCATCCCCCCTACTACTTACTTTCTTCTCACCCCCGACTTGCTCCCTTGTCTACCTCACCCCACTCACCTCTTTCCAACTCCTGATTTACCCCCACATTCCCCCCACCTACCTCTCTCCGCACTTAGCTAACCCCCCACATTCCCCCCACGCACCTCCCTCCACCCCGTGGTGAACCCCCCTCATACGCACCTCCCTCCATCTCCCAATTCACCCTTCCAAAAGGGACCTGCAGGGCGGGAAGGAGGAACGGAAGGGGAGGCGGGAGGAGGCAAGGCAGAGGGGTGGGAGGACAAAGGGAGGGAAGGAGAGGAAAGAGTATTTGGAGGGAAAGAGAAATGGAGACAAGGAGGGAGAGGCATGTGAAGGGGGGTGGGAGGGCCATGACGATAGCAGGTACGTACGTATGCTTCCCGTGCAAGTTGTCCTCGTTTCCCCTGCCCGTTGCCCTTCCTCCCCACACATACTATTCCCTTCTGTCCTCCCACTTACTGCCCTCCCTCATCCAACTATCCTTCCTCCTGACCCCCACTTACCATGCTCCCTCCCTCATTTCCCTCACACACTCTCTCTCTCCTCCCTTCCCTCTTTGCCTATATTATACCTTCACTCTGTCTCCCTGTCTCTTCTTATCTTTTGCCCCACCCCCTTCCG